TCGTGGAGTATAAAATCTGTCGTATAATTTCATTTTGGGGCTTGTGTCGGATTTAGTATTGATTTACCAAAAAAAGTACCCGTAAATCTAGGGACGAAGCTGTCTAGGGGGGTGGTGAATATTAAAGCAGATCGTTGGTTTTGTAGGGGGTAAGGGGGTTTTGGACCCCTATGGGATACAGTTTTTTGAGTCCGGGGGGAATAGTGGAGTACTATGTCCTGTAACCATTAATTTAATTGCACATGTTGGTTGTGCTAGTCCAATCAAAAATACACACGGGCCCAGCTACAATTTGCCTTGCAAGTGTTAGGGCCGACTAGGCCATAGCTGAGTCGATGCAGGCCCCCCCCCAAAAAGAAAAAATACCAAATGTATGAAATCTCAGTTATGTGTGAGCATGGGCTGATTAGTAATTAACCCATCGAGATGTCTTATTTAAGGGGAACGAGTGGGCGATTTTAAGTTAAAATGGTCCTGAAGTAAGAACCAGATGTCTTATAAAGATCACCGTTAGCTACCCCCACGGTTCATGGGCCCGGTGCGAGAAGAGGGATCCCTGCCGAGCGGGTTGCTGGTTTCACGCGGCATGGTGATTAAGCTCGTGATCTAATGGACCGGGCATAATATCTAATGGAAATAAATTAATATGGTAGCATATAATATGTAAAGTCATGAATATTATGTCCTATGTAAAATTAATAAGAATTAATACGGGCTTTAACTGGTCGTATGGACAAATAAATGAATGCACAATAATACATAGCATGTATGTATATAGATATTTATAAATAGACACTAAATTATGGAGAAATGTGTGTGTAGATTTATGTGTAGTTTGTGTAATAAAATGTTTTTAAATGATTCATTTTTAATACTGACATAATACTGCAGGGTTGGTATGATCTACAATAAGCTTTTTTTCAAGAAATAGTTTATGTAGAACTCCAGCTTTGGGGGTTGGTGGTGAGGTTTGATATCTCTTTCTTGAGTCTTAGGGAGGAGTAGGTTTCTCCTTTTTCGGTTTACAAGACCGGGGTATTTATTATACTACAAAGACTCTTCATTTTAGGATTTTGTTCTCGATGAAGCTAGCTGTTGGTATTATTACTAGAATGAGAAGGAAATATAAAATTGAAGCTAGTTGACCTATAATGATGTAGGGGTGTTCTACTGGTTGGCCTCCAATTCAGGTTAGGACTAGGAGGTCTGTTATTAGTAGTCAGAATAATAGTTGGCTAAGGGGTCGGAATATCATACTTCGTTGTTTGGATGTGTGGAGTAGGGGAATAAAGAGTAGAATGAGAATAGAAAATAGGAGTGCTAACACTCCTCCTAATTTATTGGGAATTGATCGTAGAATTGCGTATGCGAAGAGGAAATATCATTCTGGTTTGATGTGTGCGGGAGTGTTTAGTGGGTTTGCTGGGGTATAATTATCAGGATCTCCGAGTAGGTCTGGTGCAAGTAAGGTTAGTGTGAGTAGAACAAATATTAATAGAAGGGCGCCTAAGATATCTTTAATTGTGTGGTAGGGGTGGAATGGGATTTTGTCTATGTTAGATGGAATTCCTATTGGGTTGTTGGATCCTGTTTCATGGAGAAATAGTAAGTGGACGGTTGTTAGTGCTACAATAATAAATGGAAGGATGAAATGGAGAGCGAAGAAGCGGGTTAATGTTGCTTTGTCTACTGAGAATCCCCCTCAGACTCACTCTACTAGGGTGGTTCCGATGTAAGGGATTGCTGATAGAAGATTAGTGATGACGGTTGCGCCTCAAAATGATATTTGTCCTCAGGGTAAGACATAGCCTATGAATGCAGTGGCTATGGTTGTGAATAATAGTAGTACGCCAATATTTCATGTTTTTTTAAATAAGTATGAGCCATAATATAGGCCGCGTCCGATGTGAATGTATAGGCAGATAAAAAATATGGAGGCCCCGTTTGCGTGTAGGTGTCGGATTATTCAGCCGTAGTTGACGTCTCGGCAAATGTGTGTGATGGATGAGAAGGCGGTTGAGGTGTCTGGTGTATAATGTATTGCTAGGAATAGGCCTGTTAGGATTTGTACGGTTAAGCAGAGGCCGAGTAGGGAGCCGAAGTTTCATCATGAGGAGATGTTTGATGGGGTAGGGAGGTCGATGAATGTCTTGTTTAAAATTTTTATTAGTGGGTGTGTTTTTCGGATGTTTGTCATTAGGGTTCTTATAGTTGAATAACAACGATGGTTTTTCATATCATAGGTCATGGTTGAAGTCCATGTGAGAATAATGATAATGTATGTTGCATTTATTATGAGTATTATTTTTATAGTTAGTTTGGTGGGGGTTTCTTCGAAGCCTTCTCCTATTTATGGGGGTTTAGGGTTGATTGTGGGTGGTGCTATGGGGTGTGGAATTGTTTTTAGCTTTGGTGGTTCATTTCTAGGTTTAATGATGTTTTTGGTCTATTTGGGAGGAATACTAGTTGTGTTTGGTTATACGACAGCTATGGCTACTGAGCAGTATCCTGAAGCTTGAATTTCTAATAAGGTGGTGTTGGGTGGGTTCCTTCTGGGTTTAGTAGTGGAGATTTTGGCAGTATTTTGTGTACTTGAGAGTGAAAATATGGGTATTGTGTTTGATTTTGGTGGGTTGGGGGATTGGGATTGTTGTGGTGTGGGGAGCTTTGAGGTTTTTAGTGAGGAGATTATAGGTATTGCCGGACTATATAGCTATGGTACTTGGTTGGTTGTTGTAACTGGTTGATCGTTGTTTGTTGGTGTTGTGGTTGTTATGGAGATTACTCGAAGTAATTAAATAAGATTATGCTGAGGGTGAGGGAGATGAGGAAAGATAGGAAGTAGGATTTGATAAGGCCTTTTTGGTTTGAGGTTAGGATAGAGGCTTTTAATTGTATGGAGGTTATAGTTTTTGGTATAATAATTTCTGTTCAGGCTAGGTCTAGTAGGGAAGTTATTAGTTTTTGGTTTGTAGTTAGGTTTAGGTGAGTGGGTAGGCGATGTATAATTGTGGGAAAATATCCTAGTAGGGTGGAGAATTTAGTGAAATTTGATGGGCAAGGATATTTTAGGTTTTGTGTATAGGTGTTGATTTCGAGTGCTAGAATGAAGCCTAGTGCTGTTATTGTAAGGGCTGTAAGTTTTAAGTATAGGGGTATAGTTATTAAAGGGGTGGTTATAGGGGGGATGTTTTGAGAAAGAATGAAACCGGCGAAAATGCTTCCGATTAGTAAGCGTTTGATAGGGTTAATAGATGTGGTGTTGAGTTCATTGATGTTTATGAATGGTGGGAAGCGGGGTTGTCCTAGTATGGTATAGAAGATAATGCGAGCGCTATAGATAGCTGTGAAGGAAGTTGAGGTTAGCATAAGTAATAGGGCTCAGGCGTTGGTATAAGACGAAGTGGCGGCTTCAATGATGAGGTCTTTGGAGTAAAATCCTGTAAGAAAAGGGGTCCCTGTGAGTGCGAGACAGCCAATGGTGAGGGCGGTTGTGGTGAAGGGAAGTATTTTGTACAAGCCTCCTATTTTTCGGATGTCTTGTTCGTTGTTTAGGTTGTGGATGATGGAGCCGGAACATATGAATAGTATGGCTTTAAAGAAGGCGTGTGTACAGATATGTAGGAATGCTAAGTGGGGTTGGTTGAGACCAACTGTTATTATTATTAGGCCAAGTTGACTGGAGGTGGAAAAAGCAATAATTTTTTTGATGTCATTTTGGGTTAGGGCACAGATGGCTGCGAATAGGGTGGTAATAGCTCCTAGAGAGAGGATTATTGTTAAGATTGGTTCGTTGTTTTCTATTAGGGGGTGAAAGCGGATAAGTAGGAAGATTCCGGCTACAACTATTGTGCTTGAGTGGAGTAGGGCTGAGACGGGGGTGGGCCCTTCTATTGCTGATGGAAGTCAAGGATGTAGTCCGAATTGGGCTGATTTTCCGGTTGCAGCTAGTACAAGTCCTATAAGGGGAGTATTGGAAGGGTTTTGGTTAAGTATAAAGATTTGTTGTAAGTCTCATGTGTTTATGTTTGATAAGAATCACGCTATTGATACGAGAAGTCCGATGTCTCCAATGCGGTTATATAGGATTGCTTGGAGGGCGGCCGTGTTGGCGTCTGTTCGTGCAGATCATCAGTTGATTAATAGAAAGGATATAATGCCTACTCCTTCTCATCCAATAAATAATTGGAAGATGTTGTTAGCTGTAATGAGAATGAGTATCGTGATGAGGAAAATAAGTAGGTACTTGAAGAATTGGTTAATGTAGGGGTCTGAGTGTATATATCATGTTGAGAATTCTATAATAGATCATGTGATAAATAGGGCTACGGGTATGAATATAAGTGAGAAATAGTCTATTTTAAAGCTGAGGGATAATTTTAGGGTTTGAATGGTTATTCAGTGTCAATTTGAAATGAGTGCTTCTTGGTTTGTGTGGATAAATATTATTGTTGGAGTTAGACTAGCAATGAAAGCGTAGAGAGTTATGTTTTTTACGTAGTGTTGATATTTGTCGGTTTTATAAAGATTTGTGAATGATATTATGATAGGGGTTGTTAGTATTAGTAGTGTAAGTAGGATGGAGGAAATAAATGGGTTGATTACTTTTATTTGGAGTTGCACCAATTTTTTGGTTCCTAAGACCAATGGATAGCTGTTATCCTTTAAAAGTTTGAAAAAGCCACACTATTAGGTGTGGTAACATGAGTTAGCAGTTCTTGCATTACTTTTTCGGTAAGTAAGAAGTTTTAATCTTCTATTACTAACTTCACAGGCTAGTGTTTTTTTAAACTATACTTACAGTAGGGGGTTCCTATGATGATTTTGGGGTTTAGAGATAGGAGCAATAAGGGAATGATGTGGAGGGCTATTAAGGCGTGTTCTCGTGTGAAGGAGGGGTAAAGATTATTGATGTGGTGGGTATATTTGCCGTGTTGTGTTGTGATTAGTATATATAGGGAGTAGAGAGCTGTGATTACAGTATTTGTTCCTAATAGGATAATAGTAGAGTTTGATCATGAAAAGGTTGATGTAATTACAAGTAGTTCTCCGATTAGATTAATAGTTGGAGGTAAGGCTAAGTTTGTTAAGCATGCTAGTAGTCATCAGGTTGCTATTAGTGGTAGAAAGATTTGTAGGCCTCGTGCTAGAATTATAGTTCGACTGTGAATTCGTTCGTAGTTTGAGTTTGCTAGGCAGAATAGTATTGAGGATGAGAGGCCGTGGGCAATTATTAGGGCGGTAGCTCCTATGTAGCTTCAGGGGGTTTGGATTAGGATAGCTGTGATGACAAGTGCTATGTGGCTAATTGAAGAATATGCAATGAGTGATTTTAAGTCCGTTTGGCGTAAGCAGATGGAGCTGGTTATGATTATTCCTCATAAGGATAGTGTGAGGAAGGGATAGGCCATATCTTCTGTTAAGGGGTCAAGAATTGATGTAATTCGTAATATACCGTAGCCTCCTAGCTTTAGTAATACGGCTGCTAGGACTATAGAACCTGCGATAGGGGCTTCTACATGTGCTTTGGGTAGTCAAAGGTGTAGGCCGTAGAGAGGTATTTTTACTAGAAAAGCTATTATACAGGCTAGTCATATGAAGATATTTGATCAAGAGGAGGATAGGGGTTGGGTTCAGTATTGTAATAGTAAAAAGTTTAGGGATCCTAATATATTTTGTAGATATATTAGTGCTACTAATAATGGAAGGGAGCCTGTGAGTGTGTAGAATAAGAAATATAGTCCAGCGTTTAGTCGTTCTGTTTGGTTGCCTCAGCGGGTGATAATAATGAGGGTGGGAATTAGCGTGGCTTCAAATATAATGTAGAATAGGGTTAGTTCTATAGCAGTAAATGTTATAATTAGAAAAGTTTGTAGTATAATTAGTATAGAGATATAGAGTTTTTTTCGGTTAGGTGTTTCTTTAAGCAGGTGGAATTGGCTTGCTATTAGTATTAGAGGGAGGAGTCATATTGTTAGGATTAAGAGCGGTGCTGAGAGAGGGTCAGAGAAGAATATTAGGGAGTAGTTTAGGCTGTTGTCGTTGAACTGGTTAAGTAAGAGTAGGCTTGTGAAGCTAATTAATAGGCTGTGGGCTGTAGTGTTAATTCAGATGAATTTGTTTTTTGATAATCATGTTAGTGGTATTAGTGTAATAGTGGGGATGATAAATTTTAGCATTGGAGGAGATTGAGGTTTTGTACATGGTCAGTACCATATGTGTTGGAGATTTTAACTAGGAGGGCTAGTCCAACGGCTGCTTCACAGGCTGCAAATACTAGGAGGATAATTGGTGTTATGCTGGCCAGGGTGAAATGTATGTTTAGAATTGTGATGGTTATTAGGATGAATAGTGATAATATTATACCCTCTAAGCAGAGTAGTGCGGATATTAGGTGGGATCGGTATATTAATAGTCCTGTGAGAGATATGGTGAAGGCCAATAGGATATTTATGTGAACTAAGGACATTTGGTACTTGCGAGCTTGAATCGCAGTCTAGCGGGTCGAAACCGTTTGTTTTTTTTAAACTAAGTGCCATATTCATCTCATTCTAGGCCCTTTTGAGTTCATTCGTAGGCTAGGCTAATAGCTAGTAGGGAGATTAAAAATAGGGTTGTGGGGAGTATTGTTTTTAGATTATTTGTTTGGGTTGCTCATGGTAGTGGGAGTAGTAGGGCGATTTCTAGGTCGAATAGGAGGAAAGTGATTGCGACTAGGAAAAATTTCATAGAGAAAGGTAGGCGGGCAGATTTTATGGGGTCAAATCCACATTCGTATGGGCTTATTTTTTCTGTGTATGCATTTAGTTGGGGAAGTCAGAAAGCGATAAGTATGAGTAGAACGGCTAAGGTGGTGTTTGTTAGTAATGTTAGGATAAAGTTTATTATTCTTTTTCGGAGTGTTTCCGAAACTAACTGATTGGAAGTCAGTTGTACTTATTAATACTAAAAGAATTATGAGCCTCATCAATAGATTGATACGTAGAGGAAAAGTCATACAACATCTACGAAATGTCAATATCAGGCAGCGGCTTCAAAGCCGAAATGGTGGCTTGATGTAAAGTGAAATTTTATTTGTCGTATGAAGCAGACGATGAGAAAGATAGATCCAATAATGACATGTAATCCGTGGAAGCCTGTGGTTACGAAAAAAGTAGACCCATAGATTCCGTCCGAGATTGTAAAGGAGGCTTCATAGTATTCTGATACTTGTAATAGAGTGAAGTAAAGGCCAAGTGCAATTGTGATAAATAGGGCTTGGAGTGTTTGTTTGCGGTACCCTTCTATGAGGCTGTGGTGGGCTCAGGTGATAGATACACCGGAGGCTAGTAGCACTGAGGTGTTGAGGAGGGGGACTTCTAAGGGGTTTAAGGGGTGAATGCCTGTTGGTGGTCAGGTTCCTCCTAGTTCTGGGGTGGGGGCTAGGCTTGAGTGGTAAAATGCTCAGAAAAATCCTGTGAAGAATAGGGCTTCTGATACAATGAATAGGATTATGCCGTATCGAAGTCCTTTTTGGACTGTTGGTGTGTGGTGGCCTTGAAAGGTGCTTTCTCGGATAATATCTCGTCATCATTGATATATTGTTAAGGTAATTGTAATTAGGCTGAGGATTAATAGGACTATTGAGTTAAAATGGAATCATATAATTAGGCCTGATGTTATAAGAAGTGCTGAAAATGCTCCTGTAAAGGGTCAGGGGCTGGGGTTTACTATGTGGTAAGAGTGAGTTTGGTGGGTCATTATGTGTTGTCGTGTAGGTATAGGCTTACTAATAGGGTAAATACGTAGGCTTGGATTAAGGCGACGGCGAGTTCGAGAATGACTAATAAAGTTAGGATAATAAATGTGGTGAAGGCTGCGAGTGTATTAATATTTGCTAATGCAAGGATTGCGCTTCCGATTAAGTGTAGTAGTAGGTGTCCTGCTGTAATGTTGGCGGTTAGTCGTACAGCTAGTGCTATTGGTTGAATGAATAGGCTGATAGTTTCAATGACTACTAATATAGGGATTAGGAAGGTGGGTGTGCCTTGTGGTAAGAGGTGGGCCAGGGATGTTTTTGTTTTGTGGCGGAGGCCTATGAGGACAGTACCAGTTCAGAGGGGGATGGCTATTCCTAGATTTATTGAGAGTTGGGTGGTGGGTGTGAATGAATGGGGTAATATTCCCAGTAAGTTTGTGGAGGCAATGAATAGAAGAAGTGAGATGAGTATTAGGGATCAAGATTGTCCTTTAGGGTTATGTATGTTTATTAGTTGTTTTAATACTGTCTTAGTTAATCACTGTTGGATGGAGATTAGGCGATTATTAGTTAATCGGTTTGGTGATGGAAATAGTATGGCTGGTAATATAATGATTAGAGTAGTAATGGGGATGCCTAGTATAAATGGGGTTATGAAAGGGGTAAATAGATTTTGGTTCATACTTTGTTTCAAGGGTTTTGTTGTTTATTTATTTTTTTGTATGTTGACTTGGGAGAGGGAAAGTATGAGTGCTTTGAGATTTTTGGTTGTAGTAGTGTGAAGAGGGTGAGAAGTATAAATAAAATAGTAAGAGATCATGTGGATGTATCTAGTTGTGGCATGTCATTAAGGAGAGTTTGCAGCTCTCAATCTTTAACTTAAAAGGTTAATGCTGGTTTAGCTTCTTAATGGAATTATAATATTGATGCAGATCATTTTTCGAAGTTCTCTAAGGGTACTGATTCGAGAACGATAGGCATGAAGCTGTGGTTTGAGCCGCAGATTTCTGAACATTGTCCGTAGAATAAGCCGGGTCGTGTTGATATAAGAGTTGTTTGGTTTAGGCGTCCAGGTACTGCGTCTGTTTTTAGGCCTAGAGAAGGAATAGCTCATGAGTGTAATACATCTTCTGAGGAGATTAATATTCGGATTGTCGTTTGTATTGGGAGGACTATTCGGTTGTCTACTTCTAATAGTCGTAGTTCTCCTGGTTTTAGATCGGAAGTTGGGATTATGTAGGAGTCGAAGGTTAGGTTTTCATAGTCAGTGTATTCGTAGCTTCAGTATCATTGGTGTCCTATTGTTTTTACAGTAAGAGAGGGATTATTGATTTCATCTATTATGTAGAGAATTCGTAGAGAGGGCAGGGCGATTAAAATTAGGATTATGGCTGGGAGGACGGTTCAAATGGTTTCTATCTCTTGGGCGTCTATTGTATTGGTGTGTATTAGTTTAGTTGTAAGTATTATAATGATAATATAGAGAACTAATGAGCTAATTAGGAATACGATTATTAATGTGTGATCATGGAATTGTAGGAGTTCTTCTATAACGGGGGAGGTAGCGTCTTGCAAGCCTAGTTGAAGAGGATATGCCATTGAGATATACAGGATTTTCACTTGTGACTTAACTTTGACAAAGTTATGTAAAGTTTTACTAATATCTCTTTCATAAAGAAAGACATAGTGGTTATGGTGTTGGCTTGAAACCAATTGGAGAGGGTTCGATTCCTTCCTTTCTTGACGTTTTTGGGTTAATATATACTGGTTCTTCGAATGTGTGATATGGAGGAGGGCAACCATTTAATCACTCAAGGTTTGTGTAAGTGAAAGTTACTGTTGATACCTCTCGTTTAGCTGCGAATGCCTCTCAGATGATGAAGATCATTAGTATGACTGCTGTTAATGAGATGAATGAGCCTATTGATGAAATAGTATTTCATGTTGTGTAAGCGTCTGGATAATCGGAATATCGTCGAGGTATTCCGGATAGGCCTAAGAAGTGCTGTGGGAAAAATGTTATGTTTACGCCTACGAATATAATTAGGAAGTGAATTTTTGCTCATGTTTGATTCAGTGTGTAGCCTGAGAATAATGGGAATCAGTGGACGAAGCCTCCTATGATTGCAAAGACAGCTCCTATTGAGAGGACGTAGTGAAAATGGGCTACTACATAGTAGGTATCGTGGAGAACGATGTCTAGGGAGGAGTTGGCTAGGATAATGCCCGTTAGGCCTCCTACTGTAAATAGGAAAATAAAGCCAAGAGCTCATATTAGAGCAGGAGATCATTTGATATTTCCCCCGTGAAGTGTTGCAAGTCAGCTGAATACTTTTACTCCGGTAGGGATAGCAATAATTATAGTAGCTGATGTAAAATATGCTCGTGTGTCCACGTCTATTCCGACTGTAAATATATGATGAGCTCACACGATAAAGCCTAGGAATCCGATTGAGATTATAGCCCAAACTATTCCTATGTATCCGAAAGGTTCTTTTTTTCCTGAGTAATAGGTTACGATATGTGAAATTATTCCGAAGCCAGGTAAGATTAAGATATATACTTCGGGATGGCCGAAGAATCAGAAAAGATGTTGATATAGAATTGGGTCGCCTCCCCCTGCGGGGTCGAAAAAGGTTGTATTTAGATTTCGGTCTGTTAATAGTATTGTAATTCCGGCTGCTAGGACAGGTAATGATAGTAGTAGAAGTACTGCTGTGACTAGGACTGATCATACGAATAAGGGTGTTTGATACTGAGTTATGGCGGGAGGTTTTATGTTAATGATGGTTGTGATAAAGTTAATGGCTCCGAGGATTGAGGATGCACCGGCTAGATGTAGGGAGAAAATGGTAAGATCTACTGAAGCTCCTGCATGTGCTAGATTTCCAGCTAAAGGAGGATATACAGTTCAACCTGTGCCTGTACCTGCTTCAATTACTGAAGATGCTATTAGTAGGAGGAATGAGGGGGGAAGTAGTCAAAAGCTTATATTGTTTAGGCGAGGAAAGGCTATATCAGGTGCTCCAATTATTAGGGGAACTAGTCAGTTTCCGAAACCTCCAATTATAATAGGTATTACTATAAAGAAAATTATTACGAAGGCATGGGCTGTTACTAAGACATTGTAAATTTGGTCGTCTCCGATGAGTGTGCCAGGTTGACCTAATTCAGCACGGATTAGTAGGCTTAAACCTGTACCTACTATCCCTGCTCAGGCACCGAATAGTAAATATAAAGTGCCAATATCTTTATGATTGGTTGAGAATAATCAGCGGTTTATGAACATAGGTAAAATGGCCGAGTAGGTATTAGACTGTAAATCTAAAGACAGGGGTAAAATCCTCTTTTTGCCAAGTCCTGTGGTGAATAATCACTTTGAATTGCAAATTCAAGGGAGCAGCTTCAATCCTGCCGGGACTTCTCCCGCCTTTTTTTTCTCGCGGCGGGAGAAGTAGATTGAAGCCAGTTGATTAGGGTATTTAGCTGTTAACTAAAAGTTCGTGGGAGATGTATCCCTCCAATCTAGTGAGGATTTAGCTTAATTAAAGTGTTTGATTTGCATTCAATTGATGTAAGATGAGATCTTGCAATCCTTAATTTGGCAGAGGTTAAGTAAATTATACTTACTTAGGGCTTTGAAGGCTCTTGGTCTGTTTTAACCTAAATCTCTATATTAGGATGGAGAGTATTGGTGTGATAGGTAGTAGTATTGTTGATAATACAATTGCTGTTGGTAGAAGGGTTATTCGTTTTGTGGGGTAAAATTGTCATTTTATTTTTATGTTATTAATAGAGGGAAATAGAGTTAGTGTTGTGGAGTAGGCTAGGCGTATGTAGAAGTATAAGTTAAGTAGTGCTGTGAGGGTTATGAGGGTTGGTAGTGTTAGGATATCATTTTTTGTTAGTTCTTGAATGATTATTCATTTAGGCATAAATCCTGTAAGTGGGGGGAGTCCTCCTATGGAGAGTAATATAAGTATAATGAGGATTGTGATAGTGGGTATTATATTTCATGTTTGAGTTAGTGAGAGTGTAGTGGTGGTTGAGTTTAGGATAAGTAATATGAATATGGCAAATGTTATTATGATATAGATTATTAGGTTTAGTAGAGTGAGGGTTGGATTATATGGGAGGATGGTTGTTATTCAGCCTATGTGAGTAATTGATGAATAGGCTATAATTTTTCGGAGTTGTGTTTGGTTTAGTCCTGCTCAACCTCCGATTAGGATAGAGAGTATGGATATAGTTAGTATTAGGTGTAGATTTACTGATGGTGAAATTTGGTAAAGAATTGAGATAGGTGCTAGTTTTTGTCATGTGAGCAGGATTAGTCCGGCGGATAGGGGAATACCTTGCGTGACTTCTGGTACTCAGAAATGAAAGGGAGAAAGTCCTAATTTGATAGCTAGGGCTGTTGTTATAAGGGTGGATGCTGTGGGATTAAGTACTTTTATGATAGTTCATTGGCCGGAGTATATTAGGTTAATAATAATTGCTAGTATTAGTAAGGCAGATGCAGTGGTTTGTGTTAGGAAATATTTAGTTGAGGCTTCTGTGGCTCGGGGACTGGGGTTTTTTATTATGATGGGAATGATGGCTATTGTGTTTATTTCTAATCCGATTCAAGCGAATAGTCAGTGGGAACTTGTGGTTACAATTGTTGTACTTAAAATGAGGGTTATTAGTACAATGATATAGATAAATGGGTTGATTAGTATGGGAAGGGTATAAACCAACATTTTTGGGGTATGGGCCCAATAGCTTATTTAGCTGACCTTACTATGGATTATGGTGTAATATGGTAGCACGGAGAACTTTGAATTCTTAAGGGTAGGTTCGATTCCTACTGTTCTAGAAATAAGGGGATTTAAACCTCTATTATTTACTCTATCAAAGTAATTCTTTTGTCAGACATATTTCTTGTTTTTACATTTGAGGGGGGATGCTTGCTGTTATAATAGGTAATGAGATATGTCATATGCATAGGGCTAATGTTAGAGGGAGGAAATTTTTTCATAGTAGATGTATTAGTTGGTCATATCGGAATCGAGGGTAGGATGCTCGGATTCATAGGAATGATATTGTGAGTAGTAGTGTTTTAGTGATTAGGTTTGTTGTGTGTAGTTCTGGTATGTGGGGGTTGTGAAATGCTCCTATGAATAGAATGGCTGTGAATATGTTCATTATAATGATGTTGGCGTATTCTGCTAGGAAAAATAGGGCGAAGGGGCCTGCTGCATATTCTACGTTGAAGCCTGAGACTAGTTCTGATTCTCCCTCTGTCAGATCGAATGGAGCTCGGTTAGTTTCTGCTAGGGTAGAGATAAATCATATTATGGCTAATGGTCATGAGGGGAGTAATAATCATAGTTGTTCTTGCGTAATTATTAGTGTGGATAGAGTAAAGGAGCCATTTATAAATAATACTGATAAGAGGATGATAGCTAGTGTTACTTCATAGGAGATTGTCTGTGCTACTGCTCGGAGGGCCCCAATTAGTGCGTATTTTGAGTTTGAGGCTCAACCAGATCATAGGATAGAGTAAACAGCTAAGCTAGATATTGCTAGTATAAATAGTACGCCTAGGTTTATGTTGAGGAGAGGGTGTGGCATGGGTAAGGGGGCTCATATTGTGAGGGCTAGGGTTAGGGCAAGTATGGGTCCGATGATGAATATGGTGGTTGAAGATGTGGCTGGTCGTAGGGGTTCTTTGGTGAATAGTTTGATAGCATCGGCGAAGGGTTGTAGTAGGCCATATGGGCCTACGATGTTTGGCCCTTTTCGGAGTTGTATATAACCTAGAAATTTACGCTCTACTAGGGTTAGGAATGCTACGGCTAGGAGAACGGGAAGAATTAGCATTAGGATATTGATTAAGAACATTTGTTAAGGAGAGGATTTGAACCTCTGGGTATAAAAGTTTAAGTTTTATGCAATTACCGTACTCTGCCATCTTAACAAAACCCTGATCTTGAGTGGGGTATGTTTGCGCTTAATTGTTAGGTTGAGACTAAATCATTAGTTATTTTGAAGGCGCTTTGTTGAAGTTGGCCTTATTTCTCTTGTCCTTTCGTACTGGGAGAAATGCGTAATAGATAGAAACCGACCTGGATTGCTCCGGTCTGAACTCAGATCACGTAGGACTTTAATCGTTGAACAAACGAACCCTTAATAGCGGCTGCACCATTAGGATGTCCTGATCCAACATCGAGGTCGTAAACCCTATTGTTGATATGGACTCTAGAATAGGATTGCGCTGTTATCCCTAGGGTAACTTGTTCCGTTGATCAAAAATTTTGGATCAATAAGTGATAGTATGCTTTGGCTGGTAGGCCTAGGCTTTAATCACTCGGAGGATTTTTTGTGCTCCGAGGTCACCCCAACCGAAATTGTTAACCCATATAAAGTTTTATATCCCTTGATGGTATTAGTTTGTGGCTATTTGGGTTAATTAATTGAAGCTCCATAGGGTCTTCTCGTCTTATTATATTATTCCCGCCTCTTCACGGGAAGGTCAATTTCACTGATTAAAAGTAAGAGACAGTAAAACCCTCGTGTGGCCATTCATACAAGTCCTTATTTGGAGAACAAGTGATTATGCTACCTTTGCACGGTCAGAATACCGCGGCCGTTTAACGTAGGTCACTGGGCAGGCAGTGCCTCTAATACTGGTTATGCTAGAGGTGATGTTTTTGGTAAACAGGCGGGGTTTGTGTTTGCCGAGTTCCTTTTACTCTTTTTAATCTTTCCTTAATGCACGCCTGTGTTGGGTTAACAGTATGTTTAATAAATGTTTTAGCGTTGGGTTATATTTATTGACTGTTAATTATCAGTATAATATCAGGCACTGATATAAGCTTGTGCAAGGAGAAAATTTTCTTGTTACTCATATTAACAGTATTGCTTCTATGTTTAAATAGATTAGTCCAATATTTAAGCTAGGAGTTAGTTAATTTATTGTTGAAATTAAAATCTGGTTTTTTTTGTTGAGCTTGAACGCTTTCTTAATTGATGGCTGCTTTTAGGCCAACTATGTTTTAGATTCAATTTTACTCTCTAGTTAAGGTTGTATCCATTTCTAAAAGGCTGTACCCTTTTAGACTAACGATTAAATATACATTTAAACTTGATGTGGTTTTTGGTATTATTTAATGTTGAACTGAAATTCCTTTTTTGGACAACCAGCTATCACCAGGCTCGTTGGGCTTTTCACCTCTACTTATAAGTCTTCTCACTATTTTGCCACATAGATGAGTTTGTTCTATTCACTGCTTGTAAGTAGCTCGTCTGGTTTCGGGATATTTAACTTAAGAACTCTTTGCTAAGTATTTGCTAGTTAAATCATTATGCAAAAGGTACAAGGGGTAATCTTTGCTTTTTTTTACTTTTAATAAATCTTTCATCTTTCCCTTACGGTACTTTCTCTATAGCGCCAGTTGTGTTTAAATTTCTATCTCCTATACTTTAAACGCATGGTGAATGTTTTATTTAATTTATTTGTGATAGTTGTAATGGGTGGAGTGTGGGCTAGATATGGTTCAAGATATACACTGATTATGGAATCTTCTAGGTGTAAACTAGATGCTTTATTTAAGCTATATCTTGTTTTGTCCAAGCACACCTTCCAGTATGCTTACCTTGTTACGACTTGTCTCCTCTTGTGGAGTTGCTTGGCATTTGTTAGTGATCTAGGGCCTTGCTTGATACTTGAGGAGGGTGACGGGCGGTGTGTGCGTGCTTCATGGCCTAATTCAATTAAGCGCTCTAGTCTTAATTTACTGCTAAATCCTCCTTTGGTTTTTAGGTTTCATAAAAACTTTCGTGTGGTTTATAAGTGGTATTCTTGCTGTAGAAAATGTAGCCCATTACTTCCCAACTCATGAGTTACACCTTGACCTAACGTTTTTATGTATAATAATTGTGCTTACTTTTGTGCCTTCATTAGGGTTTGCTGAAGATGGCGGTATATAGACTGAAGTAGCAAGGGTTGGTGAGGTTGATCGGGGTTTATCGTTTATAGAACAGGCTCCTCTAGAAGGATATGAAGCACCGCCAAGTCCTTTGAGTTTTGGGCTGTTGCCGGTAGTACTCTGGCGAATAGTCTTGTTTCAGGACTACTTTGGTTTACGACTAAGCATAGTGGGGTATCTAATCCCAGTTTGGGTCTTAGTTGTCGTGTAATCGGATTGTGATAAAGTCACTTTCGTGGTTTAGCTTAATTTTAATTATGGCTTTCTACGGCTTAATTAGTATTTGGCTTTATTTTATTTAGTTTCTTTACACTCTTTACGCCGTGTGTCCATTAATTCGGGTTAATCGTATGACCGCGGTGGCTGGCACGAAGTTTACCAACCCTAATTAACATGACTTAGTCAAACTTTCGTTTATAGCTTAATTTTTATCACTGCTGTATCCCGTGGGGGTGTGGCTAAGCAAGGCGTTGTGAGCTACTGATGTAGTGTGCTTGATGCCCGCTCCTTTTGATCCTCGTGATCTTTGGGGGCATTCTCACCGGGATGCGGATGCTTGCATGTGTAAGTCTGTTAGGAACTAATGGAAAGGCTGGGACCAAACCTTTGTGTTAATGGGGCTAGTTTAGCCCATTTAGACATTTTCAGTGTCTTGCTTTTAAAAGTTTAAGCTACATTGAC